TCACATTGGAGTGATTCTTGATCTGAATTCTCCCATTGGAACCATGGTGGATTTATGCATAAAAATGGCCCTCTCGGATTTTTCTTTGGAGCATCCAAATTATAGAACAAGATTGCACTTACACACCGAGTATGCCGAGAGTCTGCTGGATACTAATTTTGCAGGTATTTATTAATCCAGCTTAAAACTCATTTATATACATGCTAAATTTTCCATTGCTTAATTTCATTATTTGCATGCCATCTTAATATCTTAAACAAAGTTTATTGAACAAAAGTTAAAAATAAAAAATAAAAAATGTCTCTTTTATTGCTTCAGAAGAATTGCGTTAACTTCCACTCATTAAGTTTGAAAAGTCCCGTGAAGGATAATAAGAGCTTTTTAATTTCATCCATATTATTATGTATTACTTCAGTAATAAATTGTCTTCCAAATGTTTCAAAAAAAGAAAAGTGTCTTCCAATGATATTCCTTGATGCATGAGATTAGAGGGTTGTTTGACAAAGTTTTAGCAGATTTTGATAAAAATTTATAAAATGCGTGTGATTAAAAATTGATAGAAGTTATGAATCTTTAAATATATATTGATTTTGACCTCACCTTTTTAAGTTATGTCTAGCACTAGGTCTTGTGAACCAATATTATTTTTTTTATTTTTTTATTTTTTTTATTTTTTTTAACAGAAGTTTCTAGGATAAAAGCTTCTTCCATTTGACTTGGGCCTATTTGATTTGAATTTTGAAAAGCCAAAAATTACTTTTAAAACTAAGAAATTTATTATAAATAATTTAGTTGATTTCTTTTTCATTTTTATTTTTATTTTTATTTTTTTTCCTATCAATTGTCAGCTCATGTATAGGACATTGACCAAGACTTCGATGACAACAATTGAAGGTGCATAAAATTTGATATTGATGGGAACAATCCTCCTAAATGTGAAAGGGAAGCAGTAGAAATGGAAAAATGAGTTAAAAAAAATACTTATTAAACCTTCGTCGGCGATCATAGAAGAAAAAGACTTTAAGCTAGAACGTCTAAAAGAACAATGTACACGCAAGCAAACCATTTTCTTTCTTTCTCTCTCTAGCTTTTCTTTCTCTCCAATCTCCATGCCTTCTCTCTCTCAGACACACAATGGCTGCATGAAGCTTTCATAATCATAACCTATGCCCTCTAACTTATCCATTACATGCGGCTGACACAA